CGACTCTTGGATAGGCACATGGAGGGTAGTAAAATGTAGTGTATGCAGGGTAGATTGATCTTAGTAGGATAATAGGTCAGCACAACATCGTGGGCCGAAGGCCCTGTACTGTGCTATACTGTGCTGTACTGTTCTATGTTCTATGTAATTAGACTAGAAACCAGAGGTCTGGGCTAATGTTCTGGGCAAGTTCAAATCCCAACACAACAGCTGCTGGAACTTAAATTCATTTAGATATTGAATTGAAAAATAAGCTCACTAATGATGATCATGAAACTATCATTGATTGTCAGAATCAATCTGCTTTGTTAATATCTTTTTACAAGGAAATCTGCCACCCTTACCTGTACCTCTGGAAATGCAGTGTCACGGTTGACTCTCAAATGTCCTCTGAAATGGCCTAGCTAGCCGTTCAGTTGAGTAATTAGGGTTAGGCAGCGTATTGGCCTTGCCAGCAAGACTCACATCATACCAAAGAATAACCGGAAAAGAAAATCCTACCAATATATCAGGGTCACACACTAGGCATGTGTAAACAAATACAACTTGGCATTATCATTACATTGAATATTTCAACTTCATTAAAAAAAGGCAAAATAACTCACAGTCTTGGGACATTACAAAGTACTTTAGTTTTTATTCAGCTTTGGCTCACTTGGTAGCATTCTTGCCTCTCACTAAAAATCTGGTAGATTTAAGTATGCCACATGGTCTGCAGTGGTTCAAGAAGGCGTTCAGCAAAAACATCTCACCCACAATTAGGGATGGCCTAGCCAGAGACATCCACAACCTGTGAAGGAAGTGTTTTAAAAACTCTCAACACTTGGACACAAAATCTGGGCTGACATACCCATGCAACACTGTTGAATGAGATGCTAAACTGAGGCCTTGACTATTATCGGAGGTGAATGTAAAAAGTCTCATGTCACCATTTTGAAGAAAATACTGTGAAATTCTCCTTGGTGCCCTGGCCAAGATTTATCCATAAATCAACATCACTAAAACTGATTTTCCTGTGATAATCACTTGGTTGTTTGTAGGAGCATGTTGTAAGCAGAGTAAAGCTACTTTACTCACTTTATACGTGAATATGTTTCTGAATTGACTATAAACGTTTTAACATAACTGGAGGCCTTCAAAGCAATTTCTCTTTTTCTTTGGAGATCTTGTTTAGACTGAAACTCTAGTTCAGTTATGAAGAAATACTGCATTGATAGAGCTGTTATCCTTTGAATGGAACATTAAACTGAGGGCCCACCTCCCCTCTCAGATAAATGTAAAAGATCTGTGGCATTATTTGCGTAAGAGCAAGGTTTTGCCCAACAATTTATTGAATGTTATCACTAAAGTAGATTATCTGGCCAGTTCACATTGCCATTTGTGGAACTTTGCTGTGTGCAGATATGTTGCCCATGTTTCAACATGCTTGGCAGTGTCCTAATCAACTTCAACCTAAAATAATAATTGGTGTCCCACTTACATTTTAAAACACCCAGAAAAGGGGAGATCACTGTTGTTAATAAAGTGGTTGTAACTCTTGAGTTTGGGCAGTGCATCTCATCTATAGTGAAACTCTGTGAAGGACACATTTCTAAAAAAAATGTTCAAGTCTTTACTGCCTGCTGTACAGTTGGCTGGACAGCTGATTTGTGATGCAGTGTGACGCCAACAGTTCAGGTTCAATTTCCACACCAGCTGAGGTTACCATGAAAGGCTGTCTTTCTCAACCTCTCCCCTTGCCTGAGGTGTGGTGACTGACTCCCAGGGTAAACCATCAACTATTGACTCTCTCTCTAATGGTCTGGTAGGACTATAATGACTTCTCCTTTACTGCCTGCTGAAGGCAGTGAAAATTATTAACTCCTTGGACTCCATCCAGTGGTTCATGCTGGGAAGTATGAGGAATAGCTCAGACTCCCCAACTGTTTCTATCCAGGTCTGAAAGTCTCTTGATTCCCATAAGCAAGGCCTGGGTGGATGGCCAATTGAGTGTGGTTATATTAGGCAATTGGCCTTTTGGGGATTTGTACTCCAGCAGGATTCGGCATCTTCAAAGGAGGGTGGGATAAAGTGATGGTGAGATGGGTAAATGTTGAAATGGTATTTTATAGCATTCATACATCAATAAATCTATTGTGAATTATTTCATAAATCTTTCTACCCAGTTACATACTTTGAAGTGCATTCACCGTTGTACTGTAGAAAACATGGCAGACAATAGATACACGGCCAGCTCCGACACATAGCAGTTAGATATTAACCAGATATTGTTTTAATGATGCTGATAGAGATAAATATTCAACAGGAACTGGGGCAAACTCCCTGTTCATCTTCAATATAATGCCTGGGGATCTTTAATATCCATCTAAGGAATTTGACCTTAACGTCTCACTGACAAGTTCCATTTAGAATCACCTTCATAAATTTAATATTAATTTCTCATGTATAGATCATGGGGAACAAATAACAGGACTCAGTGGCTTATATATGAACCATATGGTGTGTTGTGTTGTGCCAAATTACTCTCCCTAGCAAATGAGATTTAACATGGTTTCAATCTTTCGGAAGAGTCAAATCCCAGTTAACCAAGTGAATGTGATCAGCTATGCTGAAGTTATAACGTTTCTTGCACAATATGCTGCTCAGCTGTAGCATTCCTTTTTTTTGGAAAAAAATGCAGTTCACTTCATAGAGCTCCACTGTGTAAGCCCAGACATGACGCAGAGCTCATGCCCACAGAACCTGCCTATAAAAGTGCTGGAGTCCCTCCACAGCTCCTCCTCTCTGCCAAACATAGGGCTGAACGCATACTGTGGCCCCTGTGCAAGGCAGGACCTTCAGAAACTATTTCAGGAGTACAACTTGTCTTTCTTTTAAAATAAGAGCTCAAATTAGACCTGTTCAGTTTGTTCCCCATCACTTCAATGCAAAGCGTCTTCATCAATACTTGAGTTTTGTCTGTTTGGCAGAGGGAGTGGAGAGGAAGATCACAGTTTGGATGTGCAGAGTAGGAAGGATACAAAAGTATTCGTCATACAGCAGGACTGGCACAAATGTGACAGAACACTGTAGATAGAAGCTTTCTGCAGAGTGAAACAGAATGTACAGAAAACTTGTATTTATGTAGTACTCCTGACAACCACACCCCAAAGGACTTGTATCCAATGATGTACTTTTGACAACTGTTGTAATGCAGGAAATTATTTCATACTTTTCAGACTGGGAGGTCACTTTCAGACAGTTGCCTTCTTGATGATATTAGCTGGCAAGTTCTTAATGAATAGAGAAAAACAGACCGTGTATAAAACATCAACTGCATTAGCCATGGAAACAACCCAAAGTACAACAGTGGTTAGGGTCTCAAATCACATACCACAACATCAAATCGTCCCTTTTGCAGAAGGCACCTCACTTCAAGGAAACTCAAAGCTGCTGAATGCACAGCTGAACTCAGTATCCCATTATAAACTTTCCCATCACAAGAGGTGGTAATAATGTAGCAAATGCAGCAATTTTCACACAGCAAGATCCCACAGTCAGCATGACAATGACCAGATTATTGTCTGTTTAAAATGATGTTGATTGAGGGACGGATATTGGTGACGAAAAGTTTGGGCATTCTTCCTTGGACCTTTGCCAGTGTGTCCACATGTGGAGGCAAAATGGGCGGACGTTTTAACATCACTTTTGACACATGGAACCTCCAAACATACAACATTACCCCAGCAGTGCACTGGACAGCTGAGCTTGAAACCCATAACTTTGACTTAAAAATGCAAAACCACAGGTTGCCACTTAATGTGAACAGTACATATGGGGAGGAGTATGATAATTGTAGCTCTGGGTAATTTCTATAGGTCAACAGGACAGAGAATTTTCTGTATCTGTCAGTTGAGTTAGAGAATGGCACCTGTAAGCATGAATAGAACTTGAATTCAAAAGGTCATGCAGCACTGCCAATTAGTTTTAAATTTTAACAGATGATAGATGTAGAAATATCCGTTCATTTAAAAGAGCTACCCTCATCTATATAAAATACTCATCTCACTGCAGCCACCCAAAGGTTTAGTGGATAAAGGCAATACTCTGTAGTGCAATACTGAACAATACAAACCAGCAGGAAACCCAAGATCAAGTCCTGAGACAGTCTCCAGCGAGTCAACCAGAGAAGAGTTACAGATGGAGGCAAAATTGGATTGCAGCAATGACCACACTCTAACACAAAATTGAAATTAATCAGAGCACAGAAAGAGGCTATTCAGCTTGTTATGTTTGCGCTGGATCTGTAAGTCCTACTACCTACTCCTACTACCATGCTTGGCTTCATTAGCCTAGGGAAAGGGGAAATCCAACAAAATGGCCACACTTTCGTTGCTAATCACAACACAGTCACATCTGGAGGAAACTGTGGAAGGATATTGAGCAAGAACAGGATGAGGCCTGGCTGGTGTGATGCACTCTACAATGCAATAGCCCAATAATATAGACATAAACAAGGGACACTTGGGTGTAGACCCCATCAGAAGAGGTTGGAATACAAGTTTGAGTAACTGAAGCCATTGCTTTTGGGTGGGGGATTTTCAGTGTGCTAAATATCTTTAATGCAGCAAAAGTCAATCATTTCATCAGGGTGTAGGGGAGCACCACTTACTCTTCAGGAAGCACACTGGCCCTTAAAAATGCAGTGCAGTTATTATCACAAGATTTAGCAACACCTGGGTTGAGGAACCCCATAAAACACACTTGCCACATAGGGCCAATCACTTTAATAGGTTGATATAAAGATGGTATGGCCAAGAAAGGACCATTGAGATCCCAGCCTGCTCATCAGTCTACAAACCTAGGAATTCACAGTGAACAACAATTTAACAACTGTAGTGAATTACCATTTTAACACTTAGTTGACACTAGTTTACCCCCCCTCCTTTAAATACAAACACAGTCATAATGTTCTAGCCTCTCCCCATCCAGAGACAAGTAGAGCACAGATTGCAAACAAATATTTGATAGAGTTGCTATTCATTTATTTCATCAATATTTAATAGCAGAATTCAAATTACAACCAAGACAAACCATAAAAATGGCCACGAGACAACATTGTGAAATTTATGCTGAGAAACACAGATCCCAGCAATTCTCAGATAGTAGTGTCATGTGGCAGTTTGCAAGTGCATGAAGCCTTTATTGTCGTCCCAGCATTGATTTGATTGTCACATTGTCCATCTGCGTACCACAGGAATGCAAAGGCAACATTAGTGTTCATAAATCATTACATACATCCATGAAAGCATGTCATTAACAATTATAAAAAGAGCCAGTTTTTAAAAAAATGGGTAATTCTACCAGCACTCTCAAAGGCAAGGGTCATTTTCCCCTCCTCTTATTTAAACTTCATTCCTGAAAGTACAGATTCCTTGTGCTCAGACCTTGTCTGGCAGGCAGCCAAGTACCTACCATTCATCTGCCATCCTTGATAGTGTGCTTTCATGCACGAAAAGCGTTCTCTTCTATAAGCCATGTTTCAAATGAAACTTCCTAGGAGATTAGCAGAAAGCTAGACAGAGACACTATGTTCAGCAGACAGATGGCTCCTATAATTTAATGAATAAGACCCAATCTTTTTTATTGTCAAAGTGTGCAGTGTGTAATCAGCATCCCTGCATCCAAAAGTTCAATTGTGTGGTACGATGTGGAATTACCAAATTGTTTTTCAATAATTTTATAAAGCACTGTGAAACAAAAACACTAAAAGGTGTGTGTGTGTGTGTGTGTCAGTGTGTCAAAAATTGTACTGTTTTGACGTTTTGTTTTCATGTCTGTTTAAGCATTCAATATTAACTCACAACAGGGTCAGATACAACAGCTGGACACCAAGTGTAATTACTTATACTCTTGACACTGTACACTTCGTTCCACCAGGAATAGCGATATATCAATGCCTTAAGAAGCAGATCTGTGCTACAGAACCATGTGTGTGAAAATAAGCTTTTCATCAAGTCTAGCCTGGATGAGAGCCTCAGTCATAGAGCATAAACCTCTAATTTCAAATGGATCTAACATTACTAAAAATCTGTTTTAAAGCAAAACAAAAAGATTTAGTTAAAGCATTTAAGTGACCTATATGTGACAGTGAGTATGCCTCTCCTGCACCACTCCCTCTTCCAAATAGTACATGGGTTCTCAGCTAAGATCTAGTTCGAGTCTCTGGGATGGAACTCGAACACAAGTTACCACTTCAAATAACAGGCATGGCTCACTTTAGTGTTACACCTAGTGTTACATACTCTCCACAGAAACAAACTACAACCAGAATAATTAAAACTTTAACTGTATCACTGAGTGTCAACTCAAGAAGTATAAAGCAAAAAAGTCACATGTCAAAATGCGTCTTGCCAAAATTCTAAATGGCACAGGTCTTTTTTAAAAAATCTGATTTCATATCTCATGGGATAATGTTGGAATTGGACACCTCCCAGCTGGGATGTTAAAATGAACTGCTTCCATGAACTCACTGTTTATCTTTGTTTGTCTTGAGGCAAGACTGTTGCAGCTTGGCTTGGGCAAATCAGAATGACCCTGCTCAGTTCATCATTTCCAAATGGCTGGCCTTGGTTAAGAGTAACCCTGTATCAGAGCCAAGACCTACAGCTGTGCATCACTAATGGACTTAGTGCGCAGCACAGACATTCTGGGAAGCCAGCTATCAGCACGTGGGTGCTGGGGTGGGAGGAGAAAAAGAAACTTCTATGCTATCCCTATTGGCTCAGCTGTTTAAAGTATAAAATACATCAGCCCGCTCGCTGAGTTAAGGTCAACTGCTCGAATTTGCACTATGTTTGGACGCTACACAAGTCAACGTTAACAGGAGATGAAAGCGGTCATGATTCCTGCTTCCTGTCACTGACCACTGGAATGCTGATTGAGGACAGGATCAAGCTTCACTGTGATGTCTCCCACAGCTGAACGACACATCACACCAGAAAGTACATCTTGTGAATTAGTTGAAGATGGGATCAGATTCAGCTGCGATTCCCGATCACAGCCAAATAGCCCAAAAAGCTCACACTAACAATCCATGCTCTCTTCTCAATGAATGGCAAATTGGGGATGAGATACCAGAGGGTGACCTTAAACAGTGTCACAATTTTTGATCAGATATTGAAAGAAAAAAAAAATCAATAATCAGATTTGACAATACAAAAGTGGAAGACGTTGAACTAACAGCAAGTTTATATTAGTACAATATAAAGTGATCGGAGGCCCCAGTTTTATTACTGAGCCACATATTGAATCTTATTATATCCAAGTGGAGGTAGGTAATTACACATATAAATTCTGAATTTATTTAAAACAAAGAAAAAGGGGGTGGGTTGGGTGAAAAATAAAGCTGAGCATATGGAATCAGCAGCTCGTCCCGAACAGTTTATGTCAAAGTAGCACAGTTCATCCGTTTAAGTGACAGGCTGAAATATTAAGCAAACTCTATTCCAGAAGAGAATACTGTTATGCTGATGGATGAAAATATGGCACATACTAGAATGGAAGAAAGAGTTCACCATTCCACCATCACAACTTGGAATTTCCAAGTCTCACCCACAGTTATGATATTGTGCAAATTGCAAGGTACACCTATAGCATTGCTTGATCAGACAGATGGTTGCTTAGAAAGTCAGATTAGGCTAGGCACATTCATGCAGCCTTTTGTGTTTGTTGAAGACTGCTGTGTATTTTCCTCTGAATGTCCCCCGAATACTGAAACTAAAAAAGACAGGGAGCCAACTTGCATCCACACATTCAAAAATTCCACACATGCAAATTTGTACAAGAAAGTGAAACTTTTAAAGGCAGGGACTCTTAAAAGATTTTTGGAAATAGGAAGTTTAGTAAATGAAGGCACTTATTGTTTCATTCAAAGAGAAGGGCACAGTTATCAAAAATAAAGGCCCATCATTCACTGCTGTTAAGATTTGGCTTATTTCAATTTCAAGACATACTCAGTGTCTGAGGACCCACTAATATCTAAGCAATGCAGTGTCTGTTCCTTCCGAACAAAGCCGAACTGCCGATGGAATGAGCCTTCTTTTGCCGTCTTCCCACATCTCAGTAAACTGGTTCCAACAGAGATTCTTTTAATGGAAGGCAGGTAGTTCAAAATGTTACTTGACAATGCTGCAACTCCAGACTTTTCCAGGTAGAGCTCCTGCAGGGCGCTCAAGTCTTCAAACACAGCTACGTTTAAGAATTTCAAGTTCATACAGTGTGACAAGTCTAAGATCTGCAAATTCTGTAGCCCCTTAAAACTATTGGGAGGTATTTCCTTCAGTCCAGGAAGATTGCGTAGTGATAAGTGGGTCAGTTCCTGCAGTCCCATGAAAGCATTCTCAGGGATACTGGAGATGATGTTGCGACCCAGATCAAGATAGCGTAGTGGAACATTGGAAAGGTAACGTGTTGACACTGACTCCAATTTATTTCCTGACAAATCCAGGCTATAAATATTCGGAACACTTTTATCCAGACTTCGGACAAGAGTGGTTATTTGATTATCTGAAAGGTCTACGCTTAGGGGCTTTCCATGTCCCTTGGATGTGAAAATATCCAAATTGATATCATGCAGTTTGTTAGCACTGAGGTCAATTTCTCCAAGAGGCAGGTTTGAAAATATTCCCTCTTCGAGCACCTCCAGGGAATTATGACTTAGGTCAAGTGTCTCAAGGTATCTCAGTTTAGAGAAGGTGTTGGATGGCATGCCAATAATCTCGTTGTAGCTAAGATTGAGACTCACCAATGTTGTGTAGCCGGGTCCTGTAAACATCAAGGGGGAGATGGTCTTCAAGTGGTTAGAAGATAAGTCCAGGTAAGAGGTATCCAATGGTATGGGGACACCAGTGAGCTGAGGCCCAACACCACTGCAGTCAACTTTAGTCAGACTGAAACTACTAAACATTCCAAAACTTTCCACTTCACAGTGACATCCTGGGAAGCACGTCATCAGGCTGTCATCACAGGACAGGAGGAACATGACAAAAATCAACCAGGCAGAGCAAGCCATTGTTTACCTACATTGTAAAAGAAGAGAGGTCAGTCACTAAGGGCTGTCTAGAAACTGTTTCAATTAACACCATCTTACTGAATGGAACAGAGCACCTGGAAAAATAAGGTTTCCTGTAATCCTTCTCATTCATTTGAACCTAATTTTGCCTCAATTTCACAGAATTTCTCACATCAACATTAAAATAATGTATAATGGGGTAAAGGTAATGAACATCCTTTAAGGCACTGAAATAGCAAAATATCAAGTTTATAAAATTCCCCCAACTATAACATACAAAAGACTCTTTCCCTCTAGTAAGGTGATACAGCATCTGAATTCCTCAGGGCAGTGTCCTTGGCCCAACCATCTTCAGTCGTTTCATCAATGACCATCCCTCCGTAAGGTCAGAAGTGAAGATGTTCAGCACCATTCGCGAATTCTCAGTTACTAAAGCAGTCCGTGCCCAATGCAGCAAGACTTGGACAGCATCCAGGTTGGGTTGACACATGGCAACTAACATCATGCCACAAGTGTCCAGGCAACAATCATCTCCAACAAGAGAGAATATAACCATTGCCCCTGGACATGCAATGTTCTTACCATTACTGAATCTCCACTATCAACATCCTGGGCGTTACCATTTGATCAGAAACTGAACTGGACCAGCCACACAAGGAATGGTGGCTACAAGATGAGGAATCCTGTAGTCACTGACTCTCTTCTCTTCTCTCCTCTCCTCTCCTCTCTCCCCCACCCCCGCAAAAAGCCTGTCCATCATCTACAAGCAATGAGACATGACATATAATATTGGCCCAGGGTGCTGTGTCTTTGGAATCTCCTTCCTCAAAAAAGCAGTGGATGCAGTTCTTTTAAATATTTTTCAGCTGGAGGTAGCTAGATTCTTGATTCTAAAGAGAATGAAAGATTATCAGGGGATATGCAGAATTGCAGATTTGAGGTTAAAATCAAATCAACCAGAATCTTGTTGAGTGGGGAAGGTGGCTTGAAGAGACAAATGGCCTACTTTTGTTCCTTGTTCATATCAGCCTTTAAATTTGGATAATAAAAATTTGGACTGTATGATATCTGCTCATAATTTAAGATTTGGAATTCAGACATCATTATGATAAATCAAAATGCACATTCTCAAAAGACATTCAGAACCATTCAGTTCAAAAAGATAACACCTTTGTCTATCTCAGTCAGCATAATGATTATCTTTAGCATTTGGTTCCAGGGAAGCAGGAGACAATGAGGATACATATCAACCCTCAAATAGCTCTACTGGAAGTGCTCACAGGGTCACCGTATGAGGACCAGTTTAGTGTTATTTGGAATAAAACTAGATGATCATCCAGCAATGATTAAGGTATCAGAAACAACAATGGCACACAGGCCAGTTGACTCTGCAAAGTCCTCCTCTGAAATCTGGAGGTTTGTCCTGAAATTGAACAAGCTGTTCCAAAGGTCACTTAGCTGCCTGACAGAGTCATAATCACAGAACCACACCTTACAAACAATGCCCTAGAACACAGCTGTCGCCATCTCTAGATATGTTCTGATTCAAAGAAAAGATCCACCAGAAGTGGCAGTCAGTGTTATACAGATGGGAGGGTGTTCCTGGGAGTCCTCAACATTAACCCCAGACCCTATGAAATTTCATAGCATCAGGTCAAATACGGACAAGGAAACCTCCTGCTGATTCCTGTTATCATCTATTTTGATCTGGAGGAACACCTAACACCGCATGGAATGAGGGAACAGGTGATCAATATATTAATTAAAGGTTAATCGGGTATGAATTTGCTGCATAAATACAGGGAGCTAGTAATCAATAGATGAATGTTTTATGGAATGTGGTTAGCCAAAGTAAAGCTCTCACTAAAAACGTGGATTTGGTCTCTAGTTAAATAGTCATCGTCTAGTGTTCAACTCAAAATTTTTGGGACATGATTACTTATCCCTGTTTTCTGAAAAAGAACATCATGACCAGTGGAAGGATGAAGTTACCATGGGTTCCTTCTTTACCAAAGAGGAAACATGGCTGAGGACTTTTATTCATGCAGAAGCAGGATAAGAAGCAACATTTTTTTGTAGAATTTCAACACAAGGATTTGAACATGGATGAAGGTTTGGCAGATTGTTAATGTTTCATGAAAGAGAAATGATCAAAAAGATAACTTATTTACTGTTTATGAGGTGGGGTCACATTTTGACAAATCCAGAAAGACTGAGGATAATACCATGGAAGAGTACATAGGGAATTCAGTAGATTGTCTGGAAGACTGCAGATATTTCATTTAGAAATTGTGCAATTTATGCTGCCATTTAAGTTACTGGTCTGTGCCAATGGACTGACTTCTAGTTTTGACAGGAGTTAAAGTTACATGGTGTGTGCAAATGTCAGAAGCACTAGAAAAAAAAAATCCTGGGAAAGCATCCTTTTCCAGCACAATTCATAGCTCAAAAGGAGTCAATCAACAATCCAGCAGAAAATGGAAGGCACAATGTAGTTAGCACAGCCATGATGATTCCAATGTAACATTGATACTGACAGGACAGTGGGGCCAGATGAGTCCAAACATTTAGAAGAAAGCGAGAAAAGAAATTGCAGTGGCACTGACCGTAAACTTTCAGTCTTCCCTAGATTCGAAGGAGATTCCAGAAGACTGGAATACTGAAAACATTACAGCCTTGTTAAGAAGGTTTGCAAGGATAAACCCAGCAATTATAGAACAGTCAATCCAAATTCAGTGTTTCTTCTACAAACAACTATTCAGGATAGAATCAGTAGTTTCATGGAAAATACTGGGCTGATTAGGAAGAGACAGCATGGATTTCTAAAGGAGAAATTGTGTTTAAGTAACTTGGGAGTTTTTTGAAGTAACAGAATAAGTTGACAGGGGTAATGTTGGTCATGTTGTGTACATAGACTTCCAGAAGGTGCATGATACAGTGCCATACAAGAGACTGGTGAGGAAAGTTATAGATCATGGAATAAAAGGGAGTAGCAGCTAGGATACAAAATTGACTGAGTGATAGGAAACAGAGTAATGGTCGATGGACACTTTTCAGATTGGAGGAAGGTTTATAGCGGAGAGGTTACAAGGGGACTTGGGTGTATATATGCACAAAGCTTTGAAGCTGGCATCACAGGTTGAGAGAGCATTTTCAGCTTAATTATTAGGGGCACAGAATACAAGAGCAAGGAGATGATGCTAAACTTGTTTAAAATATTAGTTAGACCTCAGTTAGAATATTGTGTGCAGTCCTGGGTACCACACTATAGAAATGAAGTGAACACATTAGAGGGAATGCAGAAGCAATCAACAAAAATAGTTCCAGGGATGAGAAACTTCAGTTACTAGGACAGATTACAGAAGCTGGGACTGTTGTAATCTGGAGCGATGTATAGCAATGGGAAGGGCTTAAACATTCTTGTGCTATTGATAAAGGAGTACCAACAGATGCATTGTACTAGGATTTCCAGAAGGCAGTTGATAAAGTGCTACATCAAAGGTTATTGAGGAAAATAAAAGCTTATGGCATTTGGAGTAACATATTGGCATGGATAGAAGATTGACTGGCTAACAGGAAGCATATAGTAGGAATAAATGGGTCTTTTTCAGGCTGGCAGGATGTCACAAGCACAAGTGATGCTGGGGCCTCAACTCTTTACAATCTATAGAAATGATTTGGATGAAGGGACCAAAGGTATGGTAGCTAAATTTGCTGATGACATACATAAGTGGTGGTGACAAAAACATAAGGAGGTTATAAAGGGATACGGAGTGGTTAAATGAGTGGGTAAAGATCTGGCAAATGGTGTATAATTGGCTAAGTGTGATTAGGGTGTCCTAATGCATGACTCACAGAAGATTAGTGTGCAGGTACAGCAAGTAATCAGGAAAGCTAACAGAATAATATGGTTTATTACGTGGGGAATCGAATGCAAGAGTAGGGTGGTTATGCTTCAGTTATACAGGGCACTGGAGAGACCACATCTGGAGAAGTCTGTACAGTACTGGGCATCATACTTACAGAAGAATATTAATGCAGTGGAAAGGGTTCAGAGAAGGTTTACTAGGCTAATACCTGGAATGAGCAGATTGCCTTATGAGGAAAGGCTAAACAGGCTGGACCTGTATGCTCTGGAATTTCGAACAGTCAGAGGTGACTTAATTAAAACATACAGGATCCTGAGGGCACATTACCAGGTGGATGTGGAAAGGATGTTTCCTTCTGTGAGAGAATCTAGAACTAAGGGTTAGAGTTTATTAATAAGCTGCACCCATTTAAAACAGGGTTGAGGAAACCTTCTGAGAGAAAAGTTGAGAGTCTTTGGAATTTCCTTACTCAAAAGTCAGTGGATGCAGAACCTTTAAATATTTTTAAGGGGTAGAAGCACATAGATTCTTGATTACCGAGAAGATGAAAGAATATTGGGGTATGCAGAATTGAGGTTAAAATCAGATCAGCCATGATCTTATTGAATGGTAGATCAGCCTTGAAGGTACGAGTTGTTCCCTGCTGTATGTAGGTAACCTGTTTGGCTGCATTATGAACGTACTGTTCTTGTCCAGCAAGTCCTCGAGTGGGACTTGAACCCGGAGGTAGGCAGCGACACTTCTCACTGCCACCCGGCCTCATGACAGGCCATACATTAAAAATCTTAACCACTTGATTCTCCCCAGTCACCACTCCCAGTTAATATGCAATTGTTCAACAGTTTAGTTACTGAATAAATTATTCTCTTACCCAGTGCCAATAATGACAGGGCTTACAGAAATCAGGAGTACAAAGTCTTGATTATTTAATGGTTTTCCTTGGTTTAATCAAACACAGCTCTGTTTTCCAGTTCTCTCTCTTCTTATAAACCGGGCAGATTTGGTACAGGCAATGACAAGATCAGGGAATGTTGAATGTGAAACAAACACAGAGAATGCTGGAAAAATTCAGCAGGTCTGGCAGCATCTGTGGAGACAGAAACAGAGTTACAGTTTGTGTTTTGGATTTCCAGCAACTGCAGATTTTTGTTTCATTTTAATATAGATCATGAGTTGCCAAAGTCATGTACTTTCTGTGGTTTTGTTTAGCGCTGGATCAGTTCAGAATTCCAGCTTTCAGGTGCTGACCTGCAGAGACTTTGGCTCAAAATCTCAGGAATGGACATGTTTTCATATCAGAAATTGACTGAACTTCGCCAATTTACATAGCAGAGATGTACAGCTTGGAAACAGAACCTTTGGTCCAACTCATCCACGCTGACCAGATATCATAAATTAATCTAGTCCCATTTATCAGCATGTGGCCCATATCCCACTAAACCCATCCTATTCATGTGCCTATCCAAGTGCTTTTTAAATGTTGTAATTGTACCAGCCTGCACCACCTCTGGCAGCTCATTCCATACACATACCACCCTCTGCGTGAAAAAGTTGCCCCTCAGGTCCCTTTTAAATCTTATCCCTCTCACCTTAAACCTATGCCCTCTTGTTTTGGACTCTCCTACCCTGGGAAAAAGACCTTGGCAATTCATCCTACCCATGCCCGTCATGATTTTATAAACCTCTAAGGTCACCCCTCAGCCTCCGATGCTCCAGGGAAAATAGCTCCAGTCTATTCAGCTTACCCCCATATAGCTTTTCTATCGTAATTTTTTAAAAGTACAGTTCAGTGATTTTAAAATCAGGTTACTCACAGGATTAGACTCAACCCTAAAGATTCTTGATGTGGAGATGCCGCTGTTGGACTGGAATGGACAAAGTCGGAACTTCATTTGAAGAAGGAGCTGCACTCCAAAAGCTTGTGATTTTAAATAAACCTGTTGGACTATAACCTGGTGTCATGTGACTTCTGACTAAAGATTCTTGCCCTCTTTGCAAAGATACATTGGCCATTACCTCTCAGCTTTTTCACAATTTAATCATCTCTAGGGGACAACCCCACGGAGCAAAGTGGACTTGCCTGGCACCAGATTTCTTCACTCTTAATTACTCCCTGCAGCCTAGCTGCTGTCCCCAGCGATTATACAGGCATCCACTGACCTGAACAGCTCCCAGTCACACCTCAGATCAGGGACTGGAAGAGGGAAACGCTACCCGGTCTCATTACCATCTGTAACAAAAACGAATCTTCCGATAAATGTAGCTAGACCAGACGTGCATCAGAGCACAGAACCAATGTCTGTTCCCCACTCGTTACAGGACACCGCCTGTAATCTCACACTCAAACCAAAGGATTTTGGCAGCAGAAATAGACCATTCGGCCAATCGAGTCTGCTCGCCATTCGATCAAACGGTTACCATCATACCCTGAAAACTCAAATCGCAGCCAAAAGCCCTTTGTTTTGTTTAATCGCCCCGACAATTTTTCTTTTAATTCGGTTTTTTTCATTCGCTCCAAAAACGGCCCCTGTGCGTGAGGTGAAACAACAAATTGCTGGAGAAAAATCAGCAGGTCTGGCAGCGTCTGTAGAGAGAGAAAAACAGAGTTACGGCTTCAGTGTGAATCCGAAAAGGAGTCCAGTTGGGTTCGAAACGTTAACAAATTATTTCTCTACAGATGCTGCTGAGATTTTTGTTCAGCATTCTCTGTTTTATGTCAAATCCGCAGTACTTTCCTTTTAGTTGTGTGCAGGAGAAGGCAGTGCCAGTCTTCAGATCAAACTTGTTACCGTTAAGAAGAGGAGTCGTATAGAACTTGACCTGCTGAGTTTCTCCAGCAATTTGTGTTTGTTTCAGATCTACAACACGTGCTTTTATTCCAGTGATCATTTACTTCTACAGAAGTGGACAAGACATCCTCCGATGAGGTGGTTTGTCACAAATGTTTTGAAGTCCTCCGCGGTAAATCACCAACTGCATCTCTCCTATGTGATTGAAGATTTGTTCTCCACACCCCAGCCCCCTTTTTCTCCCCCCCTTAAATGTACACATTGGAAACGCTCAAAAGGACAAAGGCAAAACGGAGGTGATGATCCTTTTCTTGACCCCGGGGAGGAGAGACGGAGAGACAAAGAGAGAACTCCACACAAAAGCAGCAGCGACCGAGACTCAAATCACCGAGCAGCCCCTAACGCAACTCACCCGCAACCTGCAGCGCCCCAGCGAGGAAGTGACAGTGAAGCCGCAGTTCTCTTACCCTGACAAAGCAAAAAAAAACTTTCAGTCGAACTCACCTAAAAAAAATCCTTATCCCAGCTCTTCATTTCCAGCAATCCCAAACCGCGCAGCTAAATAAAGTTCTGCATTTTTAAAAAAAAAATGCTTCCAAGCTGGACAGACGAATTTTGCATTATTGAACAATCCTCATTCAATCAGCAAATCGATGATGAAATAAGTAACACTAGTTTGCAATAAAAGCGCATGGGGGAGGGAAGAGGAATACAAGAGTTCAGGGCTTGAAATTTGACCCGTCCTGTATTTAATGAGTGGATCTCAGACTCTGGTTTAGAATTTGGCTTTTTTAATAAAAAATAACTCAAAGACTTGGGAATGTGACTAATCCATTAAAAGTACAGTTTGTGGAAACATGTTTTCTTTACCTACGAAACGGAATTCTGTGCGTTTTATAGAAATAAATCGTGTTTTTTTTTTGCCTTGTCGCTGTGCAGAATCAATCTACGTGCACTGGCTCCGACTGAGAACCGATTCGAGAGGAGGAATAGAAAAGCGAATTTGTTTCAAAGTTGGCTAGGGCTTGATAATCGCCTAAACTATAAACGGTGCAGTCCGCTTTGACTGAATGAATCTATGTTGAAACTAACGTATAGATTCGGATGGAAGAGGAATTGCAACTTTCCATCACGTGGAAATAACGATCCTATTACTCTTCCCCCACCTCCACCCCATCAGAGTTCCTCGCCACTTCAGAAGTTCTTACCGGCTCTGCAACGTGTACTGCCCACAACCACCAAACTCTGCCGAGAAAGGCGAGAGCAGTCCTCGGCTTGCAAGTTTCACTGCAACGTTTGCATCATCTCAGCCCGATCTAGGGCTCTGAGCAAATGTCAGCAGCGATCATGCACGCCCCTTGACTCCCCTTGGGAGTGGAATCTAGGTTAGCAATAGAATCGCTCACCTCTACACAACCACTCATGCACCAGTTTGCACAATGACTTGGAAAGGCCTCCAGTTCCAACCAGACACCACGTGGGGGCAATAGATACACTGGGAGCGACTGGCCAATCAGCAGCAGCGCCGCGTCCAGATGACGTTCTGAAATGGAACGTCCTGGTGTGTGAATTGTATCAACTTTTACCATTGACACTCATGGATTTGTAAATAGTTTTAATAACCTGCTTCGGACGTGTTATGGCACCCCTTGTATGGCCATCACATTCCTCAGGTGAGATTTGAATTCAATTAAAAATATCTGGAATTAAGAATCTAATGATAACCATCAAAGAGTTGCTGATTGTCAGAGAGGGGAATGTTACCAAAATAAAATCCAGCTAAAATTTAAAAAAATTCATTCACTGGTCAGACTAGCATGTATTGCCTTTCCCTCATTGCCCCAAAGTCAACCACATTGCTTTGGGTCTGGAGTCACATGTAGGCCAGACCAGGTAAGGATGGTAGTTTCCTCCCCTAAGGGATGTTAGTTCTAAGGTTTTGGAGTACATCTGTAGCTCGGGTTGTGGGTGTTGAGGTTGGTTGGCTCGCCGAGCTGGTTTGTTGTTCCGCAGACGTTTCGTTGCCGTGCTGGGTAACATCCTCAGTGCAGCCTCCGATGAAGCATCGGTGTGTTTTCCCGCCTGGTTTTTAAACTCTGGGGTCCGTTGCGATGGATTGCCTCACGTCCAGGTTTCCTCCGTAGTGGAATGTATATGGGGTCGAGTTCAATGTGTTTATTAATAGCCTGCTTCGTGGAGTGCCATGCTTCCAGGAATTCTCGTGCTTGTCTCTGCCTAGCCTGTCCCAGGATCTTGGTGTTGTCCCAGTCAAAGTCGTGGTTCTCCTTGTCCATGTGGATTGAGATGAGTGAGTATTGGTCGTGTCTTTTTGTAGCCAGTTGGTGTTCATGTACTTTTGTTGTTAGTTTCCTTCCTGTTTGTCCGATGTAGTGTTTCACGCAGTCTCTGCAGGGGATCTTGTAGATGGCATTGGTCCTGTCCATGGCGGGGAGTGGATCTTTAGTTCGGATGAGCACTTGTTGTAGGGTTGATGTGGGTTTGTGTGCCACTCTGATGCCCAGCGGTCGTAGAAGTCTTGTGGTGAGTTCTGATGTGTTCCTGATGTAGGGTAGTGTGATGTTAGTGAACCAGATGGGTTTCCCCTCTCTGGCATTCAGCAACAGTTTCATGGTTATTAGATTCTTAATTCCAGATATTTTTAGTTGAATTCAAATTTCACCACCTGCCATGGCAGGATTATGAACCCAGGACCCCTTTATATAACCTGGATCTCTGGATTGATAGTCTAGTGAGATTACAAATACGTTGTCACCTCTCTCTCGATTGTGTCAGTTTTGGAGAGTTTCACAGTGGGTTTATCTCCATGAGGGTAACCAGTTGTCTCGTACAATTGACTGCAGCCTGCACCATCATGTACATCACAGCTGGTCAAGTGGCATCAGTCTGGAGCTGCACTTCACAGTTACTGTGTATGAAGAATAGGGAATGAGCTCCCAGAGGAAGTGCTGGAGGTGGGTACAGTTACAATATTTAAAAGGCATTTGGATGGGTATATGAATAGGAAGGGTATAGAGAGATATGGGCCAAATGCTGGCAAATGGGACAGAATTAATTTAGGATATCTCGTCGGCATGGACGAGTTGGACCGAAGAGTCTGTTTCTGTGCTGTAGAACTCTATAACTCTATAGCCCCAGAGATAGTCAATACAGATAAATTGGCACACCACTTTGTCGACAGGGGCCTAGAGGTCCTGGGTGGATTGGGTGGTGCTCAGGACCACGAGAGGTGACAACAGCATCAGCTCCTGCCCGTCTGTAATGAAGTTACTACCTGTGTTAGTGTGGTCTAAAATTGTCTGGAGAAATGCTTAACCATGCTGGAAGAATATTAGTGGCCTTCTACACCCTGCAAAGATACCTTATACTCATTGTAGCTACAATTGCAGCCACCTCCCACCAACTACTATTTCCCCCACTTGCTTTTAGCTACCCCAATACCCTAACACTATTAGCCCTGCATGCCCTCTGCACTGCCTGCTCATTCACTTGGACAACATCCCCTCTTTTCTCCCAACTGTATCAGCATTAAAAGCTGTGCCAGCTACGTTCATCTCACTCATTCCAGAAGAAAACATCCTACAAGACACAGGCAAGATGGGTTTTGGAGTACAAACAGAAAACGCTACAGTGCTAACATCACTGCCTTTGACTGGCAGCTTTCATAGTAAATTAATCAAGGGGCAAGGCTTATTGTGTGAAAAATATAGTGTCCTTTGGTAGGTGTAATTGCAAGTGGTACCTGTGGTGGCAGTGGGTCCCAGTTGCTGTCTTGCCTGAGAGAAATGAGAAACTTTCTGTTTGTGTTTCAGATTTCCAACATCCACAGTTCTTTATTTTTGTTATGGGTTTTGGGATGCCTGACATTCATTTTCTCACACCGTATACAAAGAACATCCTTGCTTTAGGAAAAGACTGTGACCACTCATGTAGTGATGCTGACACCTCTACATCTTGGCAACTAAATACAATTCATTGCCAATTTCAATGCTGCTTTTCCATTACTGCTATCATGAATATAAATCTTAACATGCTCAAACGTGCCCTGTTTCACAACTCATTCTCTCTTTTGTCTCCTGCAGGTACCAGTTGCATCAGTACAGTCTCTGCCATGAAGTGAATGGCATTTAAAGTCATTATCTCCTCCTGTCTGAGGGTGAAGAAGAAGTCACATATTCTTCAATGGAGCACTAACTGTCTCCTACACCCTCCACCAACTCAAATATTGATAACTCAATGGGTATTTAGCAAGAGTACAGTTGGGAGCCCATTCTAGTGAACATATCATTGCCATGTCTCCACAGCTGGTTGAGGAAGAAACACCCCAGGTTGCTGGCTCTCAGCAGACTGCCAGAGACCAGGCACCTGCTCAGCCCCAGGCAGGGGAGGACCCTGGTCCTTGATCAGGCCAGCTTGGGAGACGTGTCCCAGACTGGATGCCAGTGAGGGGGGCCAGTCCCAGACCAGAGGCCGGTGAGGGAGGTGAGTCCAGGACTGGAGGCCATCGTGGAAAGGTGGGTCCCAGAGGTGAGTCCTGGACCGGAAGCTGGTGCAGGAAGTCCACTAGACCACCAGACCTCTGCCTCACCACACACTTCTTCGTCTTTAATGGTCAAATATACAAACAGATCAACGGTACTCCAATGGGGGCACCCATCTCAGGACTCCTCGCAGAAGCAGTCATGCAAAGACTAGAACACACCACCCTCCCCCACATTCAACCGAAACTGTGAATCCAGTACATAGTCCACAAATTTGTCATCATTAAACGCAACAGATTAGAAGAGACCCATCATCTCATCAACAGCGTATTCACACGGATTAAATTCACAAGGGAAGAAGAAAACAATAGTCAACTTCCATTTCCGGATGTTAAGGTAGAACAAGTTAACAAACGGGGAGTTCCAAACCTCAGTATACAGAGAAGCAGCCCATGCAGATCAAATCCTCAATTTCCACAGCAATCACCCCAATGTCCACAAACAAAGCTGCATTAGGACACTATTTAAACGGGCCAGGACACACTGCAACACTTCAAAATTACGCCCGGAAGAAGAAGAACACTTATGCAAGATCCTTGCTTTAAACAGATATCCCCCCAATTTCATCCACAGATGCCTACATAACAGATAACAACAGGAGGACACAGTACGACCTAACACACTCACCACACTTCCTTACATCAGGAACATATCGGAATTGACAACAAGACTCCTAAGAATACTAGGAATCATGGTGGCCCACAAGCCCACAGCCACTCTACAATAAATGCTTACAAGGATTAAAGACCCCATTCCCACAACATGCAGAACGAACGTGGTTTACAAAATACCATGCAATGACTGCCACAAACATTACATCAGACAGATGGGAAGGAAACTAGCCATC